TTGACATCTTTCCAATAAAAAAAAAAGAACTTACAAGAATACCGAAAAAAGTACAAAACCTTAAAGTATGATTTATTTAATAAGATGTTTAATGGAGGATTAATTATTTACACGGATTTTTTACTATTTACTAAAATGTTTAAAGCAAAGGCCCGATAGCCCTAGCGCGGGCCACCAAGGGAAAACTTTTACAGCCAAAAAAGTCAGATTTTTTTGATATTTTTTGGGTTTTTCACCTGTAACTCCTAAACAATGCATCAAAGCGAAAAATGTATTCCTTAATAAATTAAAGGACGTTAAATTTTGCGTCGAACGAGTACATAAACTTTATAAGTTGATTACGCGGTAAGGTATAAAACCACAGTCAACCAACGATGAACTTTACCAAATTTGTCAAAAACTGAGACAAATTACTATAAATGCTCCTGTAACATGGAAATGAGTTCCCTAAGAGGAAAAACCCATAGAATTAAAGTTGTAGAGCATCATATTTTGCTTCTATTGAGTACTGACATTTTTATTTTAGGCCAATTATATATCTTGAATCGGGATTCGTTAGTCCTTTATAAAATTCGGAATCTTTCGGCACATCGTTTACCAAAATCTTTTGCTGTTGAGAGGTGGAAAAGAAGCTTATACTGCATGTAACAGACTTTAAACAAAACTAACTCATTAGAAAAGACATTCATACTGTCGAAATATTCAAAATCAGGTTTACCTTCATTAGCAATTTCTAACCATCGATAGATTACCGATTTTTTTCGCAGCCAGTGACCTACATTAAATTAGTTGGTACTCAGTTGACGTAAAGTTTGATGTTCTACAACCTTGATTCTATGGGTTCTTCCTCTTAGGGAACTCATTTCCAAGTTACAGGACCATTTATAGTAATTTTTCTCAGTTTTTGACAAATTTGGTAAAACTCAGCTTTGGTTGAGCATTGTTTTATAACTTACGGCGTAACTAAATTTTAATGTTTATGTAATCGTTTGACGATAAATTTAACGTTCTTTAATTTATTAAGGAATACATTTTTCGCTTTGATGCATTGTTTAGGAGTTATAGGTGAAAAACCCAAAAAATATCGAAAAATTCTGACTTTTTTGGCTGTAAAAAGTTTTCCCTTGGTGGCCCGCGCTAACAATTTTGTTTTTTACATGTCTAAACCCATATATACATGTTAAAAAATAAAAACTTTTCTCACATTTTTTGCAATGGCAAGGTACCGATACAAAAATTAATAAAATCCAGAAATTCCAAAATTTAGGATCCCCTAATCCATTCATTGAAACTTAAAGATCAGGAGAAGCTTTCAAGATTCATAACTCTATTGGTTGTTTATTCTTTGTACACATCTCAAGACACTCAAAGAAAAACGTCGGCTATTATTTGACGAGACTAATTTGTGACTTTTATTCCGTTAGTTTTTAAATTGCAACAGGCTATGGCGTCATTCAAGACGATTTCTGTAATTAGGAGGTGTCATACCCCATCAATCTTTCAGCACTCAGTTTTCCAGTTGAATGAACAATCAAATTCTACCACTTCAATTTAAAATGCCTTATACAATGCAACGGCTGTCTACCGACAAACCGGAGTTTGTTCCGATGACGATTATTTAAAATTTAAAATGATTTTCCGGTCACTCAGAATCAAGTCTATAACCAACGCAGTATTTCTTCTTCGGAAGTGACACTAAAGATAGAAGAGCTTAATGGGATCAAGTTGGGTTTTTCTTTTGTTAAAAGGTATTGTCCTGGCAACTTTCGCTGATGACACTGCGATCCTATCTTCTAACTCAGATCCTGAGATAGCGTTCAGAAACCTGCAACGGCACCTATCCTTGATTGAACACTGGTGCAAGAAATGGCGCATCAAAGTCAATGAATCCAAATGAAAACATAAAACCTTCACCCTTCGTCGTAATTCCTGTCCACCAGTTTACTTTAATACCATCCAGCTTCGCTTCTGCGACACAGTCCGGTACCTTGGTTTTCTACTAGACAGACGACTAACGTGGAATCCGCATACTAGACTGAAAAGTCAGGAACTTAACCGACGTTATGGCCAGCTATATAGACTACTTAATAGAAAATCTAAACTTTCTATTGAAAACAAACTACTGATCTACAAGACAATATTAAAACCCATGTGGACCTACGGACTAGAACTGTGGGGGACAACCAAATTTTCTAACATCAAACGCATTCAATCCTTCCAGTCGAAAGTCCTCCGTACAATAGTCGATGCTCCCTTCTATGTCTCTAATAAAACCCTGCACAATGACCTTAATATTCCATTTATTCTTGATCTTATCCCAGACAAATTCTCCACATTTCATCAGAACCTTACCCATCACCCTAATCCCGTAGCACAATCCCTATCTAGCACCACTCATCCCTACAATCCTCCTCGCAGGCTGGAACGGCAGTGGCCCCGTGACCTTTTGTAACATGTATATACTGGAGTTCTGGCAATGGCCAGATTCTCCACTCAAACCATGAGTGTCCGTGGTTGTAGCGCCCTTAATCAATCTCCGCTGGCTTTCAATGCCAGTGAAATGGTTGAGGAAGAAGCGCAGGGATCTCCTGAAGCCTTGCTTTCCTCCACATGTGGGGGGATAGGTATGGTTCGGAGTTCGTATGGCCGACTGTAAATAGTGTAATAGATATGCCTGCGTCTAAGATGTTTATTTTCATTACTTTTTTTTTTTTTCTCTCTCACTATGATATTTTATTTTGTTCTTTTGTAGCTTTATATTATTTGAAGTGAGCTTATTTTTATTTATTTATTTATTTATTTTTTTAATTTGTAAATATGGTGTGAATGTGCTCTCAAAACTCTATTAAAAGTGTCCTTTATTGAGACAGATTGTAATATATATCAATAAAAAAATAAAATAATAAAAAAAATAAAAAAAATAAAAGGTATTGAACTCCAGTTTTAGCAAGAAAGCAAAACGTTTCAAATTAGTTGGATGATTTGTAGGTCAATGATCCTTTTACAGCAGCTGAAGAAAAATAAACAGGGCGTTTCGTAATTGTACGGTACTATTTTAAGTATGTGTTCACCAATACAAAACAAACAAAAAAGTTCATATTACATATATCTCAAACTCGTTAATTAAAAAGATATCAAAGGTTAATGATTTATTATTTATTTACTACATTAAGACTGACTGTACAAAGCTTAACGCGTTTAATACTAAATAACAGGTTTTAATCACCTGATAAACAAATGAGCGATAAGGAATGACAGTAGGTAGTGGTTCATCTGTTCGTCTAGTTCTGTGTGTTTCATTGTGAGTGAATACTGTGACACGGTTCAATTTATGAATATCATGGGGGACAACATAAATTTATCCACTTTTGCAGAACAAACAGATATGCTTTTAAGTCATGGCGAGGTACATAGAAACGGTGCTGCTGCTGTTCGAAGATATCGTGAAAATTTTCCTAACCGAAGAATACCAAATCGTAAAACGTTTTAGGCCATTGAAAGACGTCTTAGGGATAATGACGCGCTAAAACCTATACGAGTAAACGGCGGTCGACAAAGATTTCGATTAACTGCAAACGTTGAAGAAGAAATACTTTATGCTGTTCACTTATCTCCTACTACTAGTATCAGAAGATTGTCACGTCGTTTCGATGTTTTCTCTATCAGCGTTTGGCGAACTTTACGCCAACAACAATTTTATCCATTTCACGTACCGAGTAGGCAAGATTTGTTACCACAAGATTATAACAAGTGCAGAAATTTCTCCCAGTGGTTAATTCAACAATGCTCACGAGATCCTAACTTCCTGAATTGCATTTTGGTTACTGATGAATCCTGGTTTACAAGAAACAGGATTCTTAATTTTTATAATACCCATACTTGGGCTGAAGAAAACCCTCATACGACTGCTGTTGGACATTACCAATATAAATTTTCTTTAAATGTCTGGTGTGGTGTTCTAAGCGACATCATCGGTTCCTTCTGTTTGCTATCTAGGATGTCAGGTATATCTTACTTGTATTTTTTGCATAATAATCTTCATGAGCTCCTAGAAGATATTTCGCTAGACATTAGGCAAAGGCTGTGGTTTATGTATGACGGTGCTCCAGCTCATTTTTCTAATAGTGTCACTGATTATTTAAATGCAACTTATTGAGATCGATGGGTCGGTACAAACGGACCTGCTAAATGGCCACCACGATCTCCGGATTTAACGCTATTAGATTATTTTGTGTGGGGCTGGATGAAGTCTATGGCTTATCCTGCGGCAGTTGCCACGCAAGAAGAACTAAGAAATCGAATCCTGGAAGCCGCAGTAACTATCAAGAACCATCCTGATGCTAACGAAGAGCCAAAGAAGCATGGGTTCGTCGTGCTGAATGTTGCATTCAACAAAACGAAGGCCCCTTTGAACATTCACTCTCAATGTTGTATCTATTCATTTAAATTTACTCCGTCAGGTTATATTTATTATTCAGTCACGCGACCGGAATAAACCTGCCATATAAAGAAGAATGTTTTATCTTCAGCACCTTTGATAAAGGACATATATGGTTTGAAATACATTTCTATTTTGGAATAAAATTTGAAACTAATAAATCATAGGCCAATATTGATCTTTGACAGAAGCCTACAACTAGGTTTAGAGCTTCTTTGGGTGCTGTGATATTCTAAATTAATTGTCTGAGATTTTTTTTCTCTCAGAAGAATATAGGTGAAATGAGGTACAAACATACTGAAATTTAAAATTTACAAATAAAACATACCTAAAAGTCTCTTCAGATTTTAGTATTCAAGGCAGGAGATTGCCTCATAGACCTAGATGTATTGTTTTAACTTGTCCGTTTATTGAATTTATCGGGTGCTGAATATATTTAAATTTTGTAGCTTGAAAGTAAATATGATTAATTTTGAACTTTTTTTTAAAAGTAATTTATGATAAAGTAATTTTTTTTTTGTTACAGAGGCTCTGCATTCTGTTTCCTTTACATATAGGAAAAATGGGAATCTCGTTGTATTTTAGAATATTCTCTATTCTGTTGGTTGTCCTGTTGGTGGAAATCGAAGAAGGAGAACTGAAAGGAAAAGCGCCTGTTTATTATCAGCCGGAGCAGGTCCACCTTGCCTATGGAAGTAAGTAAAAAAACAAGCTTCTTTTTGTTTATATACATTTAATTTTAGTATTATTATTTTACCGTTTAATTTATTGTAAATAGAGTTGAATGTGCTCTCTGAACACTATAAATGTCCTTAATTAAGAAAATCTTTAATATTTATAGTTAATAGTTGAAGTTAAATAACAAATGCATACAGAGTGAGTGGTGGGACCTGTAGATCTTGCGCGTATTGGTTTTATATATATTTATTTATATAAACTTGTTTAAATATAAATATAAAAAAAATAATATCAAAATAAAGTATTATATATAGAAATAGAAAAATCATCTTTATTCTGGGACTAGGTCCCTTTAGAATAACAGTATTGTTCATATATATTAACTACAAATCTGGTCAAAAGACTTATTACAATGAATAATGACAAAATACATGTAATACATTAAGTATTAATTAAGCTCTTAGGATAAATTAACGAGGACAGTTGGGTAGTAGGGGTTCAGTACTAAAATCAGGGGTTCAGAAAGTAAAATCTATTTTATAGGTACATCATTGTAGTGATGGAAAATAAAAATTAAAAAAAATAATAATAACTGTTAATATGTAGGAAAAGAAATTGTAAAAACTAAAACAAAAAAATATATAAGAAAACAAATAATGATATACATATGTTTCCTAAGATATTTAAGTGATTATGCGTAAAGATTAGGAGAAGAGAAAATAAAATAAAGTATATATATACACATAGCGAGAAGTATGTTGAAGATAATTAGAAATAAAATACATTTCACTGAAATACATTTCATGAATAACAAATTAGAACTTAAGAAAAACAAATTTTATCTACTCGCAATGCTTAGTGAGTGGTGATGAAAATTCACGTTCAACACAGAATAAAACAATAAAAGATAAGAGAAAAAAAATAATGTCTAAAGAAAATTAAATCCTTATAACATAGTATGTATTTAACCAGCGTCTGATTGGATTGTGAAGAGGAATTGGAACAAGAGGGTTTTAAAGGTGGATAAGGATGATGCAAGGCGGATTTTTAGTGGGATGGAATTCCAGAATGCAGTGGAACGGACAACGAAGGAATATTTAAATGATGCAGATCTGTGGAAAGGAGTGTAAAGGTCAGAAGGACGAGATCTTGTGGAGAGGGTGTGGATAGATGATTTGAATTGTAGGAGATTGTATGCGTAGGACGGACGATGACTATTGATTATTTGGTAAAGGAATGTGCCTAGGAAATATTGTCTTCGGAAGGAAGGGAAGAGCCATCCTAATTCAGCATAGTGGTGCGAAACACGGGAATACCTCAGGGCCCCTGTGACAAATCTTACGAAGGCATACATAATTCTTTTCAGTCTCTCCCCGAGTTCTGCCGAGAGGCCACCGTACACCACGCAGCCGTAATCAAGGTGGGGGAAGATGAGGGAAGTTACTAGGAGTCTACGTGTGGAGATGGGTAGGAGATGGCGGAAGCGATGGAATAGTTTCAAGGTACCAATTGACTGTCGGGTAATGTGAGCAATATGGTGTTTCCAGGATAGGGTTTGGTCTATGAAAATGCCTAGGTTTTTTACTATATACATGTAATACTTTATTTTTAATACGTGGATTTTGTCCTTTTCTTGACCTTTATACATTGTTCCTTGAAGGTTTTTTTTTTTGTTGTATTGTTATTAATTCTTCACCTAATCTAATGGTTGGGCCATCCCTTTGAAAATTTCTCCCAGATGCGGAAAATAAAAGAATCTCTCAGAAAAGTCAGAAAGTTTTAAAGAAAAGGAAACTTAATTTACGCTTTGATAAAAAAATGTACATTTTATTGCATACAAAAGATTAAAAATAGAAATATAAAAGAATAAAAAAGCAGTAGTAAGAGATAGTAAGTCCATTTTTATCTTCGAACATAGAATGAAATTATCGAAGGTTATAGGCAGGTTATAACAATTCCATTGAGCAGTTTCAGCGTGAAATAGCGGAAATAGCCGTGGGCAGAGCCAGGGTAATAGTACCTTAAGGGATGAACCTTAAGACATCGCAGGACGTTAACCTCAGTCTTCATACTTCATGGGAGGAAGATATACCAACGAAGGTATGAGCCTCCAGACTTGGTATTTAGGAATACAAGCGGACGGATGAGAATCCAGGCCTTGGAGAGAGCGAAGGAGATATATTTAAAGGAACATGAGATTAATAAATAGTCAGATTGATAAGTTCCTGCAAGTATATATTAAATATACTGATCAATTGACTGTGAGGAGAACCTGACTATGGCCCCCCGAAGGGAGGAGAAACAGATTTCTGAAGAAGCCATCACAAATATATCCTTGTAGTATATCCGCCATGAAAACAATGCTATCAAGAGTTACTCTTACTCTCTCACTTGCAGTTACTTTTAAACTTTGATAATTTTTTCTTATTACTATACATTTTTATTATTACAAAGTATTCATAATATATATAAATATTTATAAGTTTATATTGCAGATTTTTATATTAAAATAATAAATAAAAATTGAACTTCAAGAAATAGAAATAGAAATAGAACTTCAGAAGAACGGAAATAGAACTTCAAGATAAAATGCTAGAGCGTGTACATGTTGGACAAACGTTCCCAAAGCACATAATGAAATGCAATATTTAATACAAACACTAGATAAAATAACTGAAGTCTCTGCTCTTCCACAGCTATCCACAGCCTACTCTAACTGACTCTCATTTTGTATGTATTTTAATATATTGCTATGTATTGAACATAGCAAATAAGTTTTGAAAAATTATTATTTAGTGTTGAAAACAAGTTGAATGAACTCGACTTCTGACATAACGTTAAGGGGCAGAGCAGCTAGATAAGGACTGACCTATACCTGGACCCCGGAGAAGGCTCAGAATAAAAACTAGTAACTGGTTCCTCTTAGGGTGTTACCAGTTATTGTAAAGTAATATAGTGAAGTTAAGAACCAATGGAAACCATCCTTGCCCCACCCTGAATATTTGTATATAATACGCCGAGAAGTAAGAAAAGGGCTCTTATGTTGAGTTCCGGCCTTGAGGATGGTTCTTATTAATTAATTCTGGTCCAATCAATATATTACAGATCCAAATTTATTTTATTAATTTTTTATTAAACATTTCTGGGTAATTATCATCAGTAATTATCCAGTGGTATCCCGAATAAATTTAAAAACCCCAAAACGTAGCAACTTCAATGTCATCCCTTTTGTGGGGATAAAACATAGCAATATTGTATTTTATATGTTGATTAATGTTTCTTCTCTTTATTTTGAAAATGAAACATCCTAAGTTAAGATCTATTTTTATGGGTATCCCTAATATTTAATGAAGGTTTTGATAAAGTGTTCGATGTTCGTTGATAAATAATAAGTTTCAATGAAATTTTAATCCTTTTTCCATAAGTTTAAGTTTATATTAATATTGAGCGAATAATATAATAATAGCAAGGAATTTACAGAAGATGCAACCGAAATGGTGGTGACCTGGTCGACAATGAGCGCAGTCGAGAGATCTACCGTTATCTTCGGCAAAACCGAACCGACGAACAAGGTTTTTGGAAACAGTAAGCTGTTTGTCGACGGTGGTAAGAAGCGGAGGACCCAGTACATCCACAGGGTCACACTAACTGGTTTGGAACCTGCTACTAAATATGGTAAAGTATACAAGTGATATTATTATTTATTAATTAGGATCAATTAAAAAAAAAGTTAATTGCTGTTGCATTAATGGAGCCAATAGAATCCACAATAAAGTCTTTTTTACAAAATTAATTTGACAAAATTGTGAAGTGTCCTTAAATTACCTAATGCCTTGCAATGACTTTCTCTATTTATTTTGATATAGATTAATCAATTTATACCTTTGTTAGAAATAAAAATAAAAACGCTTTCTAATAAATAAAACCTGGTACTTCTGTAAAAATAATATGATTTTTAACACTTAAGTGAAAGTTATATATAGTCCAAATGGCAAAACTGCTGTAATGATTTTTATGAAACGTTCCTAAATTTTTCTATTTAAAGCTCCTTAAATTTTCATATATGCTGCCAATTTCAAAGGAAAAGTAGGAAAACATATTACGAAGGAAATAACCTTTTTTTTTGGACATATCATAATAAGTATACATCTTATAGTAAATTTTGTATATAATATTTTGAAAGGTAATGAAATTCTTAAAACAATAAGTAATCGAAATCGAACTAGTATTAGCAATCATACAGCGGATTCAATTTTAAAATTTTTTTTAGATAGATAAGTGATCATTCTGAACGTACCTGAGAAGTACTCAGGTATGATTTATCGTTTTCTACGTGGTTTGTTTAGGAGAGAAACGGTAAGCGGTTACTTTAATTCAGGTAACTATGTACAACTCTCATTTTGTTTGTATTTCTGTATGTTAAATACATACAAAAATATTAATAAATTGTTTCATCGGATAGGTAAGAAAAGTATTGAAATTATGTCAAATATTTTTATGTTTATATTGGAGGAAGGAACAGATTTTGAAGATAAGAATTTTTTTTTTTCTGTCCTCCTCTTCCTTGCCTTGTAGGCTATAGGAGTTTTTTTCCCGGGCCAGGGGTGAGTGCGGGGTATTATTGCAGGAAGTAAAAGTCCCTTCCCTCCCCGGGACGCGAACTCTTAATTTTTTATCACATAATCTTCCATCAGGTTGCCGGGAAACGCGTATGTACAACATGTGGGTAGCTCGCTCGGCCATCCCACTCCGCAACAGAAAGAACTTATCTGAGTTAAGATTAAATTAATAATAGCCTACTATTTTGACTTTAAAGAGGCAGGTTCGAATATTATAATAGACTAAGTTGTGAGCCAATGGGGGAGGACTTCGGAATGATGGTATCTTAGAAATAAGTAGATTGGAATATTACTCTCAATAACGCTATTAGCTGTAAAGCAATAAACAAATAAGTAGGATATTTATTAAAAAAATAGGATGAAGCATGAGAATCGTGAACCACGTTGCGAGTACTACAATTTTAAATATTATATGTAGATCCAAAATTTTCATCGTTAAGGTAAGAAGAAACTTGTCATTTACAAAGCCAGAAGTCATTAAGAAAGGTACTACACATATGTTTCTGGATTATCTCTTATTAAACGGTAAAAATGTTTATTATTATATATACACTAATAAATATATATATTATTATATATACATTAATAAATATATACACTTTTCTTATAATATAATATAAAAAAAACATAAAATTTTATATTTTCAAAATAACCCAAGACCGCAAACCATTTCTTTACAGTCTACATATGTGGTAGCATTGATGGCTGGTCAGATCAATTCTGGTTCCGCTCAGCAAATGATTCAATACATTGGAGCCCAGTCATCGCAGTCTACGGAGATATGGGAAATGAGAACGCTCGTTCGCTACCGTTCCTACAGCTAGAAGCACAAAACGGCTCTATCGACGCTGTCATCCACATAGGAGACCTAGCCTACGATATGGATACGGTTGGTAACTATACACAGTTTAAAATATATATATTTTTATTATATACACAAAATATATTTTGGCAATATAATTTGTCGACTGCAAAATATTACTGAAGAGTGGTTGCCATGGAACATCCTGGATGCCTTCCCCTCAAAACCCTTCTGGGTCGGACATGGGATCGTGAAGAATACAAGTCAGTTTTAGGGGGAAGTTTGTAGTGTTCTGTGGCAGGTTCTGAAACCGAATACGTTTCTGAATGTCCTATTCCTTGAATATCAAGTCGTTATAAATACATAGACAGAATAAAGGGCGGGGTGGCCGAATGGGCTAACGCGTGTGCACTGCACCGCCGTTGCCCGGCAACCGGATATATTATTCTATGATATGAAAATAGTCACGAGTTCGCGTCCCGGTGCCAGAAGGGATTTTAAATTCCCTGCCCTCACCCTCTGGTCCGGTAAAATCCCGTATAGCCTAAAAGGCGAGGTAGGGAAGAACAAGAACAGAGACATAGACAGAACAATGAATGCACTATTTTTCCCAATATTTTTAAGTGAAATGCCTTAATTCTCTGAATCAGTGAGATTTTTGTAGGGTTCTGTAGCAATGTCCGTAAAGGTTCATTAGTATTTGTTTTTACTTATTCATTTATTTATTCATTATTACAACAATTTGTCACTTGGACATTAGTTATAGTGATATTCATTGTATATACTTTTTGATTATTATTTATTGTTATTTCTCTTCTATTTATTTTATATTTTTTGTACATATAGTGTGAATGCTTAAACAAAAAATTTAAAAAAGTTTAAAATAAATAGAAGAGAAATAATAATCAAAAAGTATATACAATGAATAAAATAAAATAACCTAAAAATAATAAAATTAAAACTAAGCAAAAACACATGCACACCTATATACATTTAGTATTTGTAGATGGAAAGTTTGATAGTTAAGAACAATACTCTAAAAAAATATGGGTTCTCCATTTCTATTTCTTATGCAGGAAATATGAGATGCAGAAATGAATATGATACCATGTTCTATTATGCTATTATCGTCTGAGGACATAATCCACGATTAAGGGTCATGCAATCTTCATTTAATTTATTTTTTATTGTCAACCTCTTAGACCAACCTAACGCTAGTTTACAGTTTTTGTACGATTTGAGGGTTGCAGTATTATCAGTTATTGTCAGTAATTAATTAAAGATGTGTAAAAGAGACATGGATCCATTATACTGCCCTGTATGACGCCTAATTTATTTTAAGAGTGAAGTGTCCATCAATCAAGAAAGTAATATTAAGTATTGAATCGAAGAAGGAGAATCCTGAGTTCGAAAAGAAATCCTACAGCCGTACCTTGTCAAAAACATAACATTTGTCAAGGAAAACGCCTAATCAATAATATTTCTTACTCTAAAGCACTGGAAATGGCTTTCTGATAATTTAATGATGGTTTCTGAAGCCGAATTAATGATGTGCGTTGTCTTAATTATAGTTACTAGTTCTATCCTGTCTTTTTCATTTGATGAAATATGTAACTTACTATAATAAATAATTACTTTTCAGGATAATGGGAAGTTCGGAGACGAGTTCATGAGACAGATAGAGCCAATCGCTGCCCACGTTCCATACATGGTCTGTCCCGGAAACCACGAGCAGGCGTAGTAAGTTGGAGTGCCTCCATGATACATGATTGCGTAACTATATTTTAACAATCGATGTTTATTAACTTTGACATCATCTTAATTTCAGCAATTTCAGTCACTTCCGAGAGAGGTTCACTATGCCAGGCGGTTACGAAAACCTTTTCTACAGCTTCAATCTTGGTCCCGCTCACTTCGTCAGCTTCAACACGGAAGCTTATTACTTTGTCAACTATGGTCTCAAAATCCTCGTTAACCAATATAATTGGATCACTAAAGACTTGCTTGTGAGCTTAAAATATTTCGCTTATTACATTTACATATACTGAGGGTCCCGTAAATAGAGGGAAGTATTTAAATGGTTGATAGTAGAAGTCAAGATCTACAAAAAAGTTCATATAAACAATGGCCCAATTTCCAGCAGAAAAGTAGGAAGCGTAAAAGTAGGTTTTTTTTTAATAGGAAGCGATTACATAAAAAAATATTTGATTTAAGTAATTAAACATTGCTCCATAGTAAACAAGATTAAATTTACTTCAAACCAAAGTTTAGTTTGTCATTGTCAAACCTATTTAAAGAGGATATAAAGATATAAACAAAGCTAAGTTCCGTTTAAAAAAAATCATAAATTATTTGTGATTTCGAAGTTGTGTGAACTTCACCATATTTTTATATTTTCTAGCTTAATGCGTTTTCTGTTCCAATACTGAAGAAAAGTATTGGTATCGTAAACTCAGAACAAACAACAAGTTGAATTTTTCCTATAGATTTTCTAGTTTCATCCATTTTACTAATGAAAACATACCTATTAAGTATATATCACTACTATTAGTGAAAAAGGCCGTATGTAAAAATTTTCAACTTGTAGTCTTTTTGTAGTCAGCAACTGATATAAGTAGTCTGCTACTATGGAAAATAGCAGATGACAATAAAATATGAAATTATACTAATAAAGCATAAATAAATAATGAGTTTTTCTGCACTCTTGTAAAACTATCAATTTTTACATGCGACATTTTTCACTAACAATAGTGAAATGCATGTTCAGTAATCAAATATGGAATCTTCAAATACGGCACTCTTTCGCATTATAATATTAGCTGATAAACGAAATTCGTGGATATCAAATCCACGAATATTGGAGGATAACTGTATTTCCGAATCGGCTTCTCCCTGAGACTTTATTCTTATACGAAAAATTGCATACCTTGTAATATAGATATATTTTAGCTAATGAAAACGGCGAGGAAGCTATACTGATCTTAGTTGGCAGACGTTTTTAATCTCCCTTTAGCTGCACTGGATTTACTTCACACTTAGAAAAACTTTTTCGTTTAATAAGCTTTAAGTCAATATTAATTAAGTTGATGTTTATTAGGAAAAAGTTTGAGATTCACCTCAAGTTCCGAAAAGAAATTATGTAATTTCCTATCCAGTCTTAAATTACCTGAGTTTTCTGCAATGACAATAATTAACTGTTCCGTAGCTTTTATTTCTAGTTTTTCAGTGATATGGGATGTATTTTAATAAATATAATTGCCTAAAACACATTTTATTAATAAATTGTGGGTTGGTGGTTGACTGTAGTGAATAATGAAGAGAATGATAGTTGGATTGATCAGTCAAAATAAAAATGGCAAAAAAAAAAAAATATTTATTTTAACATTTGCCGACCCAAAGTTCAGGTCTACATCAGGGCTGATCGCTGTTGATTGCTATCGATTCGGGTCGAAACGTCAACAAATGTTAAAATAAATATTGTTATTTATTTTTGCAATTTTTATTTTGACTGATCACCCCAGCTATCCATCTCTTCATTATTCATAAATATACAAAAATTAAAAATAATGATTTTTAAAATATGTTTGACGTAAAGTGTTTTTTACATTAAATTAATGATAGTAAATTTACGTTTAAAATAATGAAACCTACAGATTGCTTCAATTATTTTCATAAAAACGTAAATTTTAGGGCTAGAAACATTAAGCTTGTGGCTTACAAATAGGCATTCATTTCTATTACAAAATCTGGGAGAAAAACACAAATCATAACCATCTTTCATCAAAAATATTTGAAAATTTTTTATACTTTTTATTTTTATAAATAAAATATATTTTTAGGTACTTATGTTTATTACAATGTATACTATATATCGGAAATCAAAAAATAAAAGCTTTAAAACAGTTAGCTGTATTTTTCCTAATAAACCTCAACTTAATTAATATTGACTTAAGCTTATTAAACGAGGAAGTTTTTCTAGAAGTGGAGATTCAAAATTTTTTAACTCGGTTTTATAACTATTTTCCTTTCGTTTAATAAATTGACTGTCAGTAATAAATGTCGTTATTAGTGTTGTCCGTTTCGAGTGGATATTGGAGCAATGAGATATTGGGAGAGTCCTTAAGGGGGAAGATATATCGAGTCTGAGAAAAATCGACTTTATCTTTTATTTAATTTAAAACAAATGATCGATTATACATTATTGATTCTTTCGTAAATCTATTTTATTAATCTACGTATCAAGATGATAGGAAATTTCATAGAGAAATGAAGAGTATCAATTTCAACAATATAATTATTTTGTACGTCGAAGGATAGAGGCGGCATCGATTTTATTTTAAACGGTGGTTGAAACAGTTATTTTTTTTTAAATGAGTTTAACTTAAATAATTTGAAAAAAAAAGTATCAATAAAGGTAATAGTTTTTTTTTCTTCAAAAATGTTAAATAAAAGTTATAACTCAAAGAAGTTTTTGAGCGGAAGTGGAGAGTAGTGTAGTTAAAGGATGATAAAAAAAAAAAATCACTTATAATTTATGACTTTTTTAAACTTAGCCGTGTTTGTCCGCCCGATATCCTTTTTAAATAGGTTTAACAAAGAAAAACTCTAATTCCGTTTGAAGTAAATTTTATCTAGTTTACTATGGAGCAATGTTTAATTACTTAATAACTAAAAAAATCAAACATTTTTTATGTTATTGCTACCTATTCAACAAAAAACGAGACTCGCTTAAAAAAAATACAAATCTTAAATTTTCTACATTTCTGCTAGAAATTAGACAATTGTTTATATGTTAATTTGACGTTTCGACCATACTAAGGGTCATTTTCAAAACTTGATGAGTCCTCCTAACATGTTCATCATTAATGTTGTAATTAATATGTTCAGTGAACATTAACTTGTCATGTTATACAGGGGCTTCGCCCACGTCATTTCTGGATATAACATGACAAGTTAATGTTCACTGAACATATTAATTACAACATTAATGATGAACATATAAGGAGGACTCATCATGATTGAAAATGACCCTTAGTATGGTCGAAACGTCAAATTAACATATAAACAATTGTCTAACTTTTAGCAGAAATGTAGAAAATTTAAGATTTAAGCTTTTTTTTTTATGCAAGTCACGTTTTTTGTTGAATAGGAAGCGATAACATAAAAAATGTTTGATTTAAGTAATTAAACATTGTTCCATAGTAAACTAGATAAAATTTACTTCAAACGGAATTAGAGTTTGTCTTTGTTAGACCTATTTTAACAGGAATATTGGATGGACAAACACAGCTAAGTTTAAAAAAAGTCATAAATTATTTGTGATTTTTTTTATCACCCTTTAAATGTACTACATTTATCCCACTTCTAGAAAAACTTCCTCGTTTAATAAGCTTTAAGTCAATATTAATTAAGTTGAGGTTTATTAGGAAAAATATAATTAAATGTTTCAATGCTTTTATTTCTTGTTTTCCGATATATGGGATGTATTGTAATAAATATAAGTACCAAAAATCGCATTTTAATTATAAAAATAAAAAATTTAAAAATAATATTTTTCAAATAATTTTTATGAAAGATGGTGTATTGTGTAATGCGTAATAATAAAATTTTGGTGAAAAATGGCCTAATTTATTGTAAAAAATAAAAAACTTCAGGACACCAAAAGTAGGAAAAATGAACAGAAGAAATTGTTTATATGATTTTTCTTTTATAGAATTTGATGTCAACTATCGACTTTTTAAATATTGCTCTCTACTTACGGGACACTCTGTGTATATTTTTTAACTAGTATTTGTACGAACAAAAATTTTATTTTGAAATAAAGTGAAACTTCTCGATTCCTCTTTTTCGACTAACAACTGACCTTCATTTGTTTTCCAAAGGAAGCCAACTCAGCAAAGAACCGAGAAGAAAGACCTTGGATAGTGACCTACGGACACAGGCCCATGTACTGTTCAAACTTCTACACTGACGATTGCCAATTCAACACGACTCGGGTACGAGTGGGAATACCCGGTTTCGAATGGTAAAGTAATATGGTAATTTATAATTAATATAAAACCAGTATATTGTAATGTTTTTTTAAATAAATTATTTCCTTTCTTATTCGACAGCAATTTGTTTTTCAGCAGAAGGTCACCTCTATAAGCTAACTCTACCGATATGTTATCTAATTTTAAAATTTACCAATTTTTTTTTACACTTCAAATCTTCATTCACGCTTGATTTCATATAAGAATGAAAACTTGAATGGCAATAGTAAATTTATTTTGAGTCATATGATGCAAGGAGAAGTATCCGAAGCCTTCAAAGTTCTAACTGGTTTGCGGTAGGAGGTGGAATCTCGCCGATACTATTCCAGATAGAATTGAAGAAAGTGTTAAGAACATGAAAATTGAGGAGTGCACGCGATGGAATGAATCATGAAATCACTGGATAAGCAGATGAAGTGATACTGGCTACTGAAGTGATTAAGAGAAAAAATTCTTAGATTTTTCTTTCTTTCAAAGGTATTGAAATCCTAAAAAAAATCTGGAAATGAGGGTGTATAAAGCAACGATAAAGCCAGTTCTGGTACATGTCTGCGATACTAATATCCTTCTAAGACAGCTATAGAAGTATTGAAAAATAGAGAGGAAATTTCTTCGCACGATCCCGGACGAAAGTACAAATTCTTAGAGGAGAAGGGGCAATAAAGAACTGCTGATCATTAAATATCACATAAATATGAAAGCTAAGAGATTAAGGTACCGAACAAGCTCTGTGCAATCCATCAAGAAGTCTCTAGACAACAAAATTAGTAGAGGGTTGCCCATACGCCTTACATTGCGAACTTTTTTTTTTTTTTAAATCTTTTTATTGAGAAATAATACATTTTGCCACATTTAAGGGCACTGAGTACTAAAGCTGAGTGAGGCTCATTCATACTATATATACAATGCAATAAAAAAATAAATAAAAAAATATATCTATATAACAAAGGTAAAAACTATAAAACTAATGAAATGTAACTTGAATTCAAATAAAAATAAAATAATATAATAATAAGTAAAACAAATAGATATGTTAAAAAGAAAAACATTCATAATTAATATATAAAAAAGAAAAACATTCATACTTAATATATAAAAAGAAAAACATTCATACTTTTTTTACAATCAGCCAAGGGAGCTCCGAGTCCAGCCCTTTCCTCCACGTGTGAAGGACAGAGCGAGACTCTAAGAGATCCAGCGCTCTCTCTCAGCCGCGTCACCGGCAGGGGTCCAGAGGAAACTGAGAGAGGGCACTAAAGCAACAGACGCTCATGACGTGAGTGGAGAGGCTGGCCATTGCCAGAACTCCAGTGACAGTCTTTACAAAAGGTCTCGATGCCACTGCCGTTTCAACCTTCGTACATTGCGAACTAGGTGTAAACGTGGAAAAATTTAATTACCTATGTTGCTGCCTTTTGCAATGTAGACATAAACCAGGACTTACACCTGTTGGTAATGACCGGGTTTTAAGCAATTGGGGTATAGGTTTAGCGGTCTTAGTTTATACTGCCCAACGATATTGGACGAATATTGGCAATTAAAGGACTGCCTGTCGACATTAATGCTTGTTTCATTGAGACGAAAAGTACAAACCCATGAGGTAGAAGGACTAATAAGAAATATCTTACACAAACGGATCAATAAATATCTCATAATACGATGCTAAGAAATTAAAGTAACGAAGAAGCTCTGAGCAATCCATCAAGAAATATCTAAACAACAATGAATGAACTTCGATAGTAGTTGGCAGGAAATCAAGTATGAGGACCATAACCAGATGGATACAAAGATGATGAGAAATAATGATGCTGCAGGTAGGCAGAGGTGGAGGTGGTTGTTCAGGCACCTGGAGACCTCTGAAACCTAAAGAAAAAAAATAAGCCATGTATATCATGGAGGAAGAAGAATATCATCAGTGTTCTTTCCTGTCTCATCGGAGCGTGGTAGCTCAATGGTAGGCCTCTGTTTTTATTAACAAAAACTGGAGGTTGAGCGTGATCTTGGTTAAATCACCTCCTTGCACAACCGTTTACCAAGAAACAGTACTCCCTTACATCGTACTGAACACAAGGCTGCAACCTTCATGGGTTGTTGTGGTACAGATTTTTTTTTTCTTTCCGGTCTTTATTTTAGTATAATTCACAAAAGATATACATTATTATCTCGTCAGTATGTTGGTATATCCATGTAAATTATCAAGTTTCAACTCAAAATGTTTCAAAGAAATAAAAATTGGTTTATTAGATATTTTAGTATGACTTTGATTCTCATTTAGTAGTGTTTAGAAAAACATGTTTATTATAATTGATTTAAAAATTTAGGTTTGGGTTGGAAAAAGTATTCTACGATGCCGGGGTCGACTTGGAACTGTGGGGACACGAGCACTCCTACGAAAGGCTCTTCCCGATGTACAACTATGTCGTCAAGAACGGGTCCTCAAGCCATCCCTATGTGAATCCTACAGCTCCAGTCCACATAACTACTGGATCCGCTGTGAGTTGTTCATATAATTTAATATTATATCTATAATAAGTGGTTAAGTAATTGTAATGAGTTCGCTTAATTTTATCGTATAAATGGAGCTGTTCATTTTTATTTCTAATCGAATGTTGTAATTAACTCATATTAGTCTTTAAAGCAATCTAGATAATTATTTAGATGAAAATCGCACGGGTTACACGTGGTTCATAATCACTTGGATCACACTTGTCCATGGAGTGCCGAATGCATCCGGCTTTATCCAAAAGCCGGTTTCGACGTTTTATGAACCGGTGTGACCGAAGTGATTGTGAACCACCCGTAACCCGTGCGCTCCTCATCTAAATAATTACCGCAATATATTATTCGTTGTAAGAGCTTCATTACAATCAATATACCTGCTTCATAATATTGTGTCGGACAGTTTGTGTGGTCACCTCTACATGAAATAATGTTGACAACTCGTTTCTCTTCCAATATGTGATTCATCTCCTGAAATAAGAGTACATTGGTTTTTAAATAATAATTTCTGCTTCTTTAAGTGGACAAACTTTAGAATACAAATAAAAATTAGATTCACAGGGAACGAAACCTAAAAAAACCATACTTATAATAAACATAATGTAGGTAATTAAATGTTACTTAATAGTAAACAAGACAAAATTTCCTTTAAATGCAAGAACAGTCTGTCTTTGTTCGGACCGCCTAACCGAGACTTTTAAGTGGTTAAACTACGCAAAGTTAATTTTTGTTATAAAACCAGAAATTGTTCGACATTTTCCTATCATCCTCTAGCTAACTAGACTTCATGTACTCCACTTTTAGAAAAGCTTTCTATTTTAATAAGCTTCAAGTCCATATCGATTAAAATGAGGATTGTGATCGAATAACTTGAGGTTCATCTCTAGTTGCGTAAAAAAATATGTGATTTGATGTTTTATCACCCTAAAGTAGCTGTGATTTTGATAAAAATAATTATGAAAAATTATTAAACAACTGTTTTTCTTGGATGCATTGTAATAAACCGATTAGAAAATACGCTCGTTATTTATTAAAAAATGCATTAAACGTTCAGCCGTAGCTTTATTTTTTATTTTTTATTTTTTTTATTTATTTGTTTATTTAGAAATATTACATTCTGTCACATCAAGGACATTTATAATAGTGTTCAGAGAAAGCACACTCACACTCTAATAGCTTTATTTAAAGTAATTTTTGTCTAGTTTACTTTGAAATAATTTTTAGTTACATAAACTAAATATTTCTTTAGTTATCGCTTCCTATTCAAAAAACGTGACCCTTAAAAAACCCAAAAGCTTTAATTTCCTACTTAGCAACGGGAAATCAGACTTTTGTTTAAACCAGTTTTTTTTTTTTTTTTTTTACAGTTCTTGAAGTCTGTTATCAGCCGTTTAAATATTGTTTTTACTTACGGAACACTCTGTATATATTATCTATATTTACTTTTATTTTTCATGCTTTTAAATTAATAAGTTATTCTAAAGAATAAATTATTAGTAATCATATTGTTATTTTAAAATAGGCTAAGCTCCAAATAAGTAAATAATATTACCATTATTAATTCATAGTTTATATGCTTATTTCTGCATGAGTTAAACTGTTTGTGGATCGCAATTGACATTTTTTTTCCCCTTCAAGGGATGTGTCGAACAACTGTCTAACTTTACGAAAATAACCCATCCTTGGTCAGCATTCAGAAACTTGGATTACGGGTATGGGAAGCTACATTTTGTTAACCGTTCCCATCTTCACGTACAACAGCTTTCTGCAGAACAGGTAACTTAATCTTGAAGTCCAAATGACTTAATCGTTACAGAAATCAATCAAATTTAAAATTTTGATTTATAATTTTCAGGAAGGCAAAGTCATCGATGACATCTGGATCATCAAGGACAGTCACAAACCTTATCATTGAAGGCTAAAGGACACAGTGTTGATCAAAGAAACTCGTATCATACTATGGCAATTTATGTAAAATAATTATTTTTTTCATGGATATCTAAGATTGTATCCAAACCATATAAATGATTTATGTTTGTTCTCACTGAATACAAAACTTTTTCAAATGATAAGATAATTATATTTCTTCTGTTCATTTATCCTTTTTTTGGTGTCTTGAGGTTTTATTTTTATATAAATTATGCCAATTATCACCAAACATTTTATTGATACGCTATTTAATCCGACGTTAATTAAATAGAAACGATAATTAATTAGAAAAACTAAGAAATTAACTATGAAATATGAAATGGTGTTTAAGTGGTTCTTGAAGTTCTAATTAATGTAATTACACGAACAAGAATACTTAAAGATATATGGTTTTATTTTACCATTTTGGGAGGGAGGGCTTCAGCCCGAAAGCTCCTCCTCCTCCCCCGTAGATCCGCCTGTGCATTCACCAAATATGATATAGAGAAATACATGCCATGGCAAGGCTTGAAGAGAATCTACCCATTTGTAGCACTCTAATAAAGTTTCTAAATTAGAAGATGACGAGGCCATCTTCTTTTCAGACGCCTAGGAGGGTTATCAGGGATCGAGGAGGAAGCAAAGTTAGGAGGATTAGAATGGTTCTGAAGTTTACTATGGAAGGATAGGTATCTGGATTGGGCCAAATCGGAAACATATGGAACATTCAGGTCGTTATGGATTATTTTATTTTTTACAAAGTATGGAGCATTAAGGATTTTACGAAGGATTTTGGATTGTAAAGAATCGATACGAGAGGAATTTGATGGTTTAGTGGAGCCCCAAAGCTCAACTCCGTAAGTCCAAATAGGCCTTATTGTAGTCATGTATATGAGTCTTTTGTAATTAATTGAAAGGTTAGAGCGTTTGCCTAGTAAGTGCTGAAATAGCCTTAAACGTCGAGCGGTTTCTTGTCGTTTCAGTCTGGTATGAGGATTCCAAGTTAGACGTTTGTACAGGTAGAGTCCTAAGTATCGGATTTGTTCAACAGGTATACGTGGGGTATTGTTAAAGGATACTGGAGGACAGGAAGTCATAGGTTTACGACGAAGGGTAAAGGTGATTTGATGGGATTTGTTTTAATTCTCCAGTTTTGACAACATTCTTCAAGGTTTGTGATGTGGGATTAAAGGATTTGGGATGCAATTGTTGGGTCGTTATGTGACATCGGCATAGGTTGTAATAACGGTGTTAGGATGGTTTGGGATGTCAGCTGTATAGACTGTGTAAAGGATAAAACCTAGGATACTACCTTGAGGAACTCCAGCGGACTGGGAAAAGAGGGATGAATAGGCATTGCTGTGATTTACTTTGATGTATATATTAGTAAGATAGGAGCGAATAATGACGAAGTATGTTATTATTATTTATTTATCAACCCTGCCGTGCCTAGTAGGCAATACGGGTGTCTGCAATAGTAAGATGTTAGGCAGGTCAGCTCAACATCTCACTGCTGCAAATGAATCTCGTTCTTCTGCTCTTTCTGCTCTTTCTTCATTTTTTCCTCTTTCTTCATGGGTGCTTTCCTCATCCGTTTCACGCCAATGGTATAGTACCTCTTCCTCCTCTTCTTAAATTAAAATGGGCTGGCCCCACCGCGACTTTCCACCCGTACACAAAATCTTTGTAGTACGGGTAGTTTTCCGCAGTGACTAACTGAGGAAAATCGTTCTCTGTGAGAATGTAGAGACCGGTTTCCCTCAGTAACTTAGCCCTTAGTTCTTCAAAGGCGGTGCAGTCCACTATGATGTGCTCAGCAGTCTCCGGAACACCGCAGCTAGGGCATAGGGGGTCGATGTCCATCCCATGGCAATGAAGCTTTGCTCGAAAGCCCCCATGGCCTGTGAGAAATTGCGAGATCCAATAGTCTGGGACGATCCACCTTGCTTCTAAACGTGACCGGACGGTGGGGAAGTACTTCCTCAAGGTAGATCCTTTGGGGGTTATCACCCACCGCCGGTTCCATTCCTCCAATGTGTCGTCCCGTATAATGTTTTTCCATTTGCAAGGATTCTCGTCAATTCTCACCTTAAGATGTTCCGGTAGACCTGCTGAGCCGTTTTTCTTAAACAAGTGCCTCATCATATCTTCTCGCAGGAGAAGGTCGAGAGGTACCCCTCCTGCTAATACCTGCACCGCCTCATGGGATACGCTTCGATACGACCTGGTGACCCGCAGCAATGCCGTTCGCTGTATTGTCGCCAACTTACTCTTCTGTCGGTGCGAGAGGTTCTGGTTCCAGGCGGGAGACGCATACCTCATGATACCCAGAATCACCCCCTTATAAATTGTTAAGGTTGCTGGGTATCTGAGGCCCCAGAAAGCGTCCCCAACCCGACTGAGACCGTTCAAAGATAGGGCCACCCTGTTTTTAAGATAGTCCAAGTGAGGGGTAACGCTGAATTTTTTCCCAAATTTTACGCCTAGATAAGTGACCACCTCACTTGGACGTATTCTCGAACCTTGAACCGTTATGTTAATAGGGTGTGCCCTGTCAGTTTTCCCTTTCACGACAATTGTATGAGTCTTTGAAGCGGCCATTGATAACTTTTTCCTCTCGCACCATTCTCCGACCAAGTTGGCGCATCGTTCCGCTTCTTGTCTTAAGCCGGCTATGCTATTGGAGGCCACCACTACTGCCAAATCGTCAACGTATCCAGTGGCAGGGAACCGCTGTTCTTCTAACACTCCCAATAACTCATCAAAAACGAGCTTCCATAAAGCTGGACCAAGTACCGATCCTTGAGGACATCCCCTCTCTATGAAAGCTTCAGTCTCATAAGAACTGCCACGAACCTTAACACGTCTATCCTGTAAGTAGCTTCTTATCAAGGCATATAAGTTACTGGGAGCATCATATTTCTGCAGCTGCTGGAGCACAAGAGGCCACCAGACGCTGTCGAAGGCGGAGGATATGTCGAATAGCATCAACATGACGTACCGCTCCGTCCTCAGTTCAACGTCTTCACGTACTCTCAGCAGGGCATCAGCGGTTCCCTTCCCCTTAGTGGAGCCGTATTGCCGTGGATGACTTGCTCTGGCAAGAACTGGTGCTAGACTGGTCATGATAAGGTTCTCCATGACCTTGCTCATCACAGGGAGGAGGCATATTGGTCTATAGGACTTGGGGAGCTGTTTATCCCTATTCCCTCCCTTGTAGAGGAGTCTCAAATCGGCGATCTTCCAGATTTTGGGAAAGTATCCCCTCTCCAGACAATCATTATATATTCCTAAAAGTCTCTCATCAATGTAGGGAATACTACTCTTTAGGATCGCCGCATCTATAGCATCGAGTCCTGGAGCACGACCGATTTTCTGCTTATCCACAGCAATATGGAGATCATATATGTCCCATCGTGGGCACAAGTCCGTATCAGGTGGGTATGCCGTGGTGCGTCTCACGAAGTTTTCCTCATCGCTGTCTTGAGACGGATCATCCCTGGGGTACGTCCTCGCAATGAAGATTTTGGCTGCCTCCTCGAAGTTGGTTGCCTGGATGTCTCCGTGCTTGAGGGCTGCCAATGTTTGCTGCGTACTAAACTTCCCCATGGCTACCCTATAAGGAATACCCCAGGGATTCTTCGTGGACTCTTCAACAATGAACTCATCCCAGGACTTTTTCTTCTGTGAACGCACCTCGTTTCGGTACACCCGGGCCTTGGACTTGTACTGATCACGGAGTGTAGAGCGCCTCTCGTCGCAACTACACCTCTGATACAACCGCCGTGCCTTGTAGAGCTCTCTCTTAAGGTTTGTTAAGGCCGGCGTCCACCATGGAACAGGTCGAGCTTTCGCCTTCCGGTGCTGAAGGGATTCCTCAGCGGCATCACAGACAATATTAGTGATCCTAGACACCCTGTAATCCAGGTCATTAGTCTGTTCTATTTCCGCTTCATCCCATTCATCATCTACCAATTTTCCCTCCAGCGTCGACCGGAAGGCATTCCAATCTGCCCTTCGGGTTAGATAACCCTTGGCAGTACCGTGGGAACTTTCTGAATTTTCCACCAGCCTGAAGGATATCGCTTGGTGGTCGGAACTCGTCTCAGATCGGAGGGTCCAATCAACGATGCGATTGGCTATTAATGGCGTTGCAAGTGTAACGTCAATCCAACTCTGCCCCCTAGCGCTAGAGAACGTAGGGGTAGCAGAGGGATTGTTTAATACTACTAACTGGTTCCGCGAAATAAATTCGCCTAGCTTTGCGCCTCTTCTATTCGTTTGATTGGATCCCCAGACCGTGTTCCAGGAGTTGGTATCTGAGCATATGATCACATTTCTGGTGGTAGCCGTGATCATCTCCATGGCGGATATGTCTTCGTCAATATCGTTGCTATCAGGTAGGTAGGCTGATACTAACGTAAAAGCTACATTACCCCACTTGAAATAGCAAGCGACGGAATCCGCCATAGTATGCTGCCTCAGATCCATCACATCGAGGTTCGGGTTATTAACCACTATAGCAGCCCTGGGCCTCCTCTCTCCACTGCTCAAGGCGATAACCCTCGATGTAAGGCCAAACCCCGTGACTATGTTCCCACGGCAGCTCGGTTCTTGGACCGCCATTATGTCGTATCGTTGGGAGAGAACACGAAGTTCATCTGCCACAATGTGTCGGCGGCCCATGTTGAGCTGGAGGATGGTAAGCTTACTCATAGAAGGTTCTTTTAGCTACCTCTTTGGCCCACTGTAGATGCACAGGGCATTCCCTGCTACCCGCCTTGTGTTTCCTTTGAACAACGGGAGCATTTGCCCTCGCACAATTTATGCAGGTTGGGCTAGCCTGTTCTCTTTTCTTTGGACACTCTTTAATTACATGGCCACTAGCTGAACACCAAATGCAGACTACTGCATCTACTGTGCACGTGGCCTTGGTGTGACCGTAGCCCTGACATCTACTGCATCGAGGAGCATCGACGTAATCTTTAAAGGTTATGGTCCACCATC